TCCCTCCCTCCTCAGGCCCAGCTCCTTTCTGAGAGGAGGGAGTCTCAACAGGATCCAAGGGGCAGGGGGAAGTGGTGGGTCAGGGCCCGATCCAGTTCCTCACCAGGCTATGCGCTCCAGTTGCCAATCCAATCCCCTAAATTTTCTACCCAGGCTGGTCGTCCCCAATAAAGGCTACTCCTCGCTTGACCAGAGCCCAGATGAGAAGCCACTGGTAGCCCTTGACACGGACAGGTGTGTACAGGGATGCTGGGGCAGCCGGGCAAGCCACAGGAACCTGTGTGAACATGCAAGTGGGCTGTAGTGGCCGCACCTGCTGAATTGTCAGAATTGGGATGTGGGGTGTTCCTCAGGCAGCCAGGAGCTCTCCAACGATGAATGCCCCAGGGAATGGAATTTTTTTGTCTGGCAGTAGGAAAGAGCAGGGAGAGGAAAAGGGGACTGGCACAGTCTGATGCTGTCCTGAGACGACTGATGCGATTGCTGCCCCTTGAACGGGCCCTGATGCAATGTCCACCATCCTGCTCCTTCTAAGGGAGGAGCCCGACTGCTGGGAATGCACCTGGCTACACTTGAACTTTGGGAAAACCCAACAAGTCAGGGGGATTTGTGCCTAGAAAAAAGGTGAGAAGAATGGGGGTGAAGGATGTAACAGCTCTGTATAGAAGGAGGTTACAGGCGGCAATTCATTTAGAAGGGCGGGGCTAGGGAAGCTGGGCGTTTGCACAGCAAGCACAATCTTTTATTTAGATCTGCTGTTTACTTGGAAGTGTGGGGGAGGGGGAAGGTTTGGACTGATGGGGTAGGGGGTGGGGTACAGGGAGTTTTCTATTTAATATCAGGGAATCACTTCTCTGTCTTTTTTCTTCCACCACCAGCGATGATGACTTTGACATGTCCAGATATTCCTCCTCTGGCTACTCCTCTGCTGAGGTGAGGCCCCACTCCTTAGGACCCTAGACGCATCTGAGCAGGACCACCTCCATCCAGGAAAAGGGGTGGGGCCGACACCAAATCACACCCTGAAGGAGCAATGGGCAAAGCTAGGTGGAGCCCCGTAGGGTGGGGCATAACGGGGTGGGACCTGGGATGGGACAGTGTCAGATGGAACCTGGAGGCTCTTAGACACTGGCCTCAAGTGCGGGGAGCCCGGTTTTAGGGGCAAGGCTTAAGCCTGTGGTTAGAACAGGGCTCCTAAACAGAATGGAGTGTGAAATCCAGGCGATACTCTATTGGGCTAGGCCTGAAATAGGGGCCAGCCAAATAGAGGCAGAAGTTGCCCTTAGAATGGGATGCCCTTTGTAGAGAGGTGGGGCCTCAAGGATGTATCTGTAAGGAAGTGAGGCCAGAACTGAAGGTGGGGCCTAAGAAGGGACAAAGCCTGGCATTTCGGTAACCTGCGATGGGACTGAGCTGGGGTGCAGATGGCCTGGGGATGCGACCCGACTGTGGGTGGTGCCTCTGGATAGCCCTAAGCCTGACCTCCTCCCCCTTTGTCTACAGCAGATCAACCAAGACTTGAACATCCAGCTGCTGAAGGACGGCTACCGGTTAGACGAGATCCCTGATGACGAGGACCTGGACCTCATCCCCCCCAAGTCCGTGAACCCCACCTGCATGTGCTGCCAGGCCACGTCCTCCACCGCCTGCCACATTCAGTAGCGGGAGGGGCCATTGCGGCCGCCCGGGGCAGGGCCCCCCGTGGGCCAGGTGGGACAGGGCAGGGGCCAACCCCTCCCCAGCTTGTCCGCCTGCCCCCGGCCCCTGCGCCCCCTACAGCCGCCAACCTCGTAACAGTCATTGCTTCCTCCTATGGTAGGACGTGTACCTCTGTGTGTTCATGGAGCCGGAGAAACCAAAACCGGGTCTTTCTCCACCCCGGGGGCTGAGGAGCGGTGGGGGCTGTTTGTTCAGTTACTTGGGGGACCTTGCCCAGCACCCTGCCCCCCTCCCCAAAGCTGCAGTCCAGTGGGGGAGAAGAAGGACTAGACAGCGGGGAGGCCAACACTAATGAGTGGGGGTAGGGATCACAAAGCCAGGGGCTTGGCCCCACCCCAGCGAAGCCATGAGCCCCCCAGCCCCAGCCTGACAAGGAAAGGGGCTGGGAGGGAGAAAGGCCCAGGGCAGTGGGAGCGGGGCCCAGCACCTCAGAGCCCCCTCCACACGCCCCCCGCCGGCCCATGTAACTATTTGTTTCACCCTCCTCTCCAGATGGGAAGCCTGACAAAGCTATCCAGTGGGATACTGCCCCCCCCATAGAATCACTGCCTTCTTCTTCCTCTTTGCCCCATTCACCCCCTTCCTTGCTCTCCGGGCTGTGGAGAAGGGTAAGGTGGGCCTTAGAGACAGGCCAGTTTGGGGTTATATGATCTGTCCTCACCCACCCCCAGCCAATGCATCTATTTCTCTGCCAGCTCCACCCACCCCCATGCTTCTTCACTGGTCTCCATCCCAGGCTGGAAGCAGGAGGTAGGGCTGGCCTCAAATGCCCCCTTCCCATCTCCCTCCAGCACAAGATCCCAGACACCGCTTCCCAGTAAGAATCTTCAAGGAGGCAAGCTTAGGAGAAAAGAGTGGTTGCATGTGTATGGTAGGGAGAACTTGGCAGAAAGTGTGTGTGTGTGTGTGTGTGTGAGGCTGTCAGGGTGGGTATCTATATCTCTGTGTTGGGCCTGTCTCTCCAGATGTCTGGTTCTGTCATGGATGTGAGTGTCCGTGGCGGGAAAGACTGTGTGGTCTGTTACGATGTGAGAGGCTGCTCAGCATGGGACTCAGAGCCCTGGCCCTGGCCTGGGAGTCAGAAGCTGGGGGCGTGGCCCTCGTGCTAGCACTCTCTGTGATCTCAACAAGCACTTGTGTTGTTTCTCTGGGCTTTCGTTTCCTCAACTGTAAAATGAGTGGTGTCTGAAATTACTTTTAAGGTCTTTTCAAACCTGAAGGAATTTCTTCATAGAAATTTCTGTGGAGGTGTGTAGGCAGGTCTCTGTGTGTCTTTGAATACACCTATGGGGCTTCCTGAGTTGTGTGTCTGTGTGGAAAGGAAAGGGGAAGTTCCTAAGGGACCTGTGTGTGCTTGGGATCTATTTGGGGATACGTGTGTATTCTGTGAACATGTATGTGTGTGGGGGAGTATATGTGGTGTGTGTGGCTCTCTGTGGCATCTGTGAGTCGGAGTGTGTGTACTGCTGCTTCTGCTGGTGCTGGTGTGGAGGGAGAGGGCAGAAAAGCTGAGGATGAAAATCGAGAGGGAGGAGGTGACTAAGCCCCCCACCCCTGGACTAGGCAATAGAGACCTGCCCCCATATGAAGAAATATGAAAGCACAGAGAGCCTAAGACTGCTCAGGTCTTCCGCCCCACAAACCTCATATCCCAGGACCAGGGTGTACACTCCCCATTCCTCCATGCTGACACCCCACACATGCTGGTGTATCCACTCTCAGATATATCACTCACGTGCTGCAGGTGTGCAGAGGACACCCCCGCGGCCCACTCCCTGGCTGCCATTCCTGGGAGATGGGAGCTGAAAGGAGGGGAGGGGAGTGAGAAGAGAGAATAAGGCTGCTGGCTTAGGAAGGGTAGCCCCTCTCCATGCACCACACCCCCAGGCTGCCAACCCCAAAGTGTTGAGGTGCAGCTTTCTACCCTCAATTCCTCCACCCTCCCCTACCTCATCTAGTGCAGGGACCCTGGTTAGGTGATGAGAAAGGACCAAAGGAAGGCAAGGTAAAAGAAGGCATCTGCAGGGCCTACAAGGTCCATACTGGCCCCCATCTGAACCTCTCTCTGCCACCCTGGTCAGCATCCCCATCCCGTCAGCTGGGCCCCACAGCCAAGCTTCCTACCACTACTATCATTACCCTGGGCTCCCTGACTCACCCGTCTAGAACATGGGTACCTCCTCTTTTCCGGGCAGGGCCCCCATGAGGGCTCATTTAGACTACTGCCTTTGCTGCTGACTTGCTCTATGACTGGCCCACTGCTCGACCTCTCTGGCCCTGAGGAAGCAGGGAAAAGCTCGCTGCCCACAGGACACACTAGTTCCCTGGCGGGCAAGGGCTTCCAACTGAGGCAGTGTGCAAGTGGTGGTGAGAAGTAGGAAGCTGGTAGCCAGCACCTTCTGGGTCTAGGAGAGTGTGTGGGTCCCTCCTTTCCTGTCTGGGATGTTGGAGGGGAGGAATTGAGGCCTTAGCTTGCCCCCTGCCCCCTCCCCTTCATCCTTCCCCCTTGTAGATACTGCCTTAACACTCCCTCTACCCTCAGCTCTGGCTGCCAACCAGCCAGGTTTCTCCGTGCTCACTAATTTATTTCCAGGAAGGTGTGTGGAAGACATGAGCCGTGTATAATATTTTTTTTTAACATTTCCATTGCAGTATTGACCATCATCCTTGGTTGTGTATCGTGTAACACAAATAATGATATTAAAAGCATCAAACAAGCCAGCCTCAGCTCCCTACCTGGGTCGTGGGCAAGAGGCAGGTGGGCTGGGAAGGGGAGAGAACTGATTCTCTGGATACACATTTCACTCTGCTTCCACTCATGGGTTCCCAGGCCAGGCCTGCCACTGACCTGCTGCGTGACCCTCGACAAGTCACTTGATGTCTCGGAACCTCCATTTCTCTTCATCAAAGTGAGAAGTTTGGCCTAGATGATCTCCAGGGACCCTCTGAACTCTTGGAAACTGGACTCTTTTGAGAGGCTCAAGGCAGGAAGAGGCTGGGGGTAGGAAGGGAATTGGATCTCCTCACCTCCCCAGGGATGGGGCTGAGCCAGGTGATATCATAATGGGCAGTGCCCATCCTAGTGGAGGAAGCAGGGTGGGGTAGGAGCAGGAAGGTTGTGAGGGAGGGCAGCTGAGAGATCCTCCATAGGAGGGGGTCACAGCAGCTAGGGGCACCTGCCAGGCTGGAGGTGTGGGCTTTCTGGCAGAGGGGGTGGTCACTGATGTCTTACAGGAGCCCTTGGTAGGTAGAGCCCACCACGGCATCCCCTAGACCTCACTATGTTCCTCTTCTCCCGCAAGACCAAGACCCCCATCAGCACCTACAGTGACTCCTACAGGGCTCCTACCTCTATCAAGGAGGTCTATAAAGACCCACCTCTGTGGGCCTGGGAAGCCAACAAGTTTGTGACGCCGGTAAGTAGAGGCTGGGTGGGTGGACAGGCCAGAGTGAATGGTCATGTGTGTCTGAATGACTGGTAGTGTGTGGTTGTCATTACGTGTTTGTAATTATTTGTAGCTATGTATGTGTGCGTGTGTGTGCACGTGTGCACACGCATGCATGTATGGATTTTATTCATTTGCCTAGGCATGGAATTTATAATAATATATAAAATAGTACAAAATTCTGCCCTCATGGTGCCCTCCTACTCCACTAGGGTAGGAGGTGGAAAGAGACAAATAATTATCAACAAATAAACAAGTTTTATAAATTATCCAAAATGCTGGATAGGAAATAAACAGGGTAATGGAAATGGAAAGTAACCAGGCAGAGCTACTTAAATAGGGAGGTCATGGAAGACCTCTCTCTCACGGTGACATTGAGCAGAGACCAGAAAGATAAGAGAAAACTAGCCCTATGAAGAGCTAGCTGACAGAATAGGGTTCTAGGCAGAGTGATCAGAAAATGCAAAGGCCCTGAGGCTGCCTGTGGGATATGCCAGAAAATGTGCTATAGGCATGTTTTCATGCATATATATCACAGTCTTCTTGTGTCTGTATTTCTGTACTTGAAGATGAGTGGCCAAGTGGGTCTGTGCAGCATTCACAAAATGGAGACAAGATCTGTGAGTCTACTTGTGACTCTGCCCAAGGGAATTTATCTGTGTGTACCGTCCAACAAGTGGCAAGTATCTACATGTGCCAGGCACAATGCAGATACAACAATGAAAAGCCAGGCTGTGCCTGTGAAGAGCTCTCAGCAGACAAGTGAACAAAATAGGGTTGCCCAGTGGATGTACTGATACAAGAGCTGGAAAATCAGGAGAGCATTCCTGGTTCTTGAAGGGCAGGTCTACTAAGAGATCTTGAGGGAGTGGGCTTCCAACAGAAAAGAGTCAGGGGAAATGGCAGCCTCGGGACAAGGATCCACCAGGAATTAAGAACTGGAACAGTGGGGGAGGCCAGCCCAATGGTGAGAGGAGCCACAGTGGCAGGAGATTGGAGGGGCTGGGGCTCAGGGCAGGAAGCCCAGTGAGGTGGTGAAGGATAAGGAAAGGAGGATGTAGGTGAGAGATAAGGAGAGACTGTGGCAGTGAAAAGGGAATTTTTTGAATAGGAGAGAATTTTTTTTCTTTTTAAAGATTTTATTTATTTATTTGAGAGAGAGAGAATGAGAGACAGAGAGCAGGAGTGGGAGGAGGGTCAGAGGGAGAAGCAGACTCCCCGCTGAGCAGGGAGCCTGATGTGGGACTCGATCCCGGGACTCCAGGACCATGACCTGAGCCGAAGGCAGTCGCTTAACCAACTGAGCCACCCAGGCACCCCAGAATAGGAGAGAATTTTTAAAATAATGTTTATAATTATAAAATAAATACATGCTCAATGCAGAAAATTGGGATAACTCAGAGAAGCACAAAGAAAAAAGGCCTATGATCTCACTACCCAAATTAACCATTGTTAATTTATTATTATATGCCATTTTAGGAAGCAAACTTTTTTCTTTTTTAAAGATTTTATTTATTTATATGACAGAGAGAAACATCGAGAACAGGAACACAAGCAGGGGGAGTGGGAGAGGGAGAAGCAGGCTTCCCGCTGAGCAGGGAGCCCGATGTGGGACTCGATCCCAGGACCCTGGGATCATGACCTGAGCCGAAGGCAGACGCTTAACGACTGAGCCACCCAGGCGCCCGAAGCAAACATTTTTTATGAAAAGGCATCACATTGTATACTAACACTCTGAATCTTGCTCTTTGCATATAACCACATATCAGGTACATTTTTTGTGTGTAAAAATATTCTATAATGTCATTTTAATGACTATGGTATTTTATTTTATGAATGTACCAAATTATGTTTAAAGAATCTTATTGGAAATTTAGGTTATTTACAAAATGTTGCTAGTACAATCATTTGTGTACATCTGTAGACATCAACTATCTCCTTAGGATAAATTACTAGACATGAAATTGTTGGGAGAAAGGATATGCACACTTTGAAAACTTTTGATATATACTTCAAATTGCTGTAATAAGGGTTATAATTTACATGCCCACCAAAATAATATGAGAGTGCCTGCCTTTTTGACATTCAATAGGAGGGAATTTTAAGAAGTAGATCAATAGATCTTGGTCACCATCTGGGTATGAAGAAGAGAGGAGAGATTAGGATGACTCCTGGGTTTAGGGCTCTGGCAAATAGAGGAATAGCAGTTCTGAGATTTGGAATTGCAGATTAGAAAAAGATTGGGAGTTCATTTTGGGACAAAAATATTCGAGGACTAACAGGAGATATCTGGTAGGTAGTTGGATATACTTAATCTGAAGCACAGGGAAAAGGGTTGGGCTACAGATACAAATTTTGAAATCATCAACATACAGGCAGTAGCTAAAGCCATAGGAGTGTATGAGATTGCCAAGGAAAAATAAGAAAGAGGTCAAGGATGGACTTTGGAGAATACAGATTATTTAAGAGGTAAGTAAAGGAAGAAGAGCCATAAAAGGAGACCGGGTGATAGGAGGAAAATCAAGGAGAAACCAACAAAGACAGCATTTTAGACAAAGGTCAGTGCCAAATGTCAACACAGACATGGATCTCTTGGATGTAGTAATCCTTAGCAATCTGGCCAGACAGCTTCAGTGAGTAGAGAGGAGTGAAAGCCAGACAGCAGTGGGATTAAGAATGAAGAATGAAGCATACTGCTTCTGGCAGTATGCTGATCTAGAAACTCTCAAGGGCCCTCCTGCTTTAAAACAACTAGGTCTTGCATAAAAATTTACTTTTATTTTTTCTGGAGTCTCATAGAGGTGAGTGGTCAGTATACTTAGGATGCCCTGAGGATGAATGCCAATATCAGCACTACAAGCAGGAGTCTAAGCTTTAAGTGAGGTGAAGAAACTAAATCTTAAACTCCAAAATGAACGAGAAAGTTTAGTGATCTCTGGCTCCCTGCCCCACCACACACACACACACACACACACACACACACACACACACACACACACACAATGAATGTGCATCCTCTGTAGTAGAAAATACCCCTCAATGTAGGTTTCCAGGTATCCTTCACAGTAAGGCCAATCAAATCTGAGTTTGCAATAAGAGGTATAAGGAAACAAACCACCATATTGACAGTCAGCAGAAATAACAAACAACAGACTAAAACCTCCAAGGACTTCAGATATTGGAATTAACAGTTAAAGAATACAAAATAATTATTACACATTTTTTTAAAAATGAAGTGAAATCATCAAAATGAGCAAGCAAGTGATTATATTTTTTAAAGACCAGACAAATGTAAAAAAAAAAGAAGTAAATAGAAATTTTAGAAATAAAAAATATGTGTGTTAAAACCAAAACCTCAGTAGATGGGTCAAAGGGCAGATTAGACATAGCTTAAGAGTGTCAGTGAGATGACACAAAGAAATGGAAAGACATTCCTTGCTCATGGATTGGAAGAACAAGTATTGTTAACCTCTTTGGCATTGGCTGAAGCAACTTTTTTCTAGATATGTCTCCTGAGACAAGGGAAACAAAATCAAAAGTAAACTATTAGTCTATATCAAAGTAAAAAGCTTCTGCATGGCAAAGGAAACAACCAAGAAAACTAAAAGGCCACCTAGGGAATGGGAGAAGATATTTGCAAATGATATATCCAATAAAGGGTTAGTATTCAAAATATATAAAAAACTTAGAAAACTCAACCACCCAAAAAATATAATCTAATTTTAAAAATGAGCAGAAGAGGGGCACGCAGGTCATGCAGGCACTTAAATGTCTGACTCTTGATTTTGTCTCAGATCACGATCTCAGGGTCATGAGATCAAGTCCCGAATCAGGCTGTGTACTGGGTGGGGAGCCTGCTTAAGATTCTCTCTGCCTCTCCCTCTGCCCTCCCCCATTCTCTCTCTTTCTAAAATAAAATGGGCAGAAGACATGAACAGATATTTCTTCAAAGAAGATATACAGATGGCCAACAGACATATGAAAAGCTGTTCATCATCACTTACCATTAGGGAAATGCAAATCAAAACTACAAAGAGCTATCACCCCACACCTGTCAGAATGGCTAAAATCAACAACACAAGAAACACCAGGTGTTGGTGAGGATGTGGAGAAAGGGGAACCCTCTTACAGTGTCGGTGGAAATGCAAACTGGTACAGCCACTCTGGAAAACAGTATGGAGTTTCCTCAAAAAGTTAAAAATAGAGCTACCCTACAATCCAGCAATCGCACTACTAGGTATTTACCTAAAGAACACAAAAACCCTAATTCAAAGGGATACATGAAGCCCTATGTTCATAGCAGTATTATTTACAATAGCCAAGATATGGAAGCAGCCAAGTGTCCATTGACTGATGAAGGGATAAAGAAGATGAGGTGTATAGGTATACAATGGAATGTTATTCAGCCATAAAAAAGAATGAAGTCTTGCCATTTGCGATGACATGTACGGAGCAAGAGAGTATAATGCTAAATGAAATAAGTCAGAGAAAGACAAATGCCATATGATTTCACACACGTGGAATTTAAGAAACAAAACAAATGAACAAAGGGGAAAAAAGAGAGAGGGACAAGGGGCACCTGGGTGGCTCAGTTGGTTAAGCATCTGCCTTTGACTCAGGCCAGGATCCCAGAGTCCTAGGATCGAGCCCCACGTCAGGCTCCCTGCTCAGCAGGGGAGTCTGTTTCTCCCTCTCTCTCTCTGCCCCTTCCCCTGCTCGTTCTCTCTCTCTCTCTCTCAAATAAATAAATAAAATCTGGGGCGCCTGGGTGGCTCAGTCCGTTAAGCGGCTGCCTTCGGCTCAGGTCATGATCCTGGGGTATTGGGATCGAGCCCCGCATCCGGCTCCCTGCTCGGCAGAGAGCCTGTTTCTCCCTCTCCATCTGCCTGTCACTCTGCCTACTTGTGCTCTCTCTCTCTGTCAAATAAATAAAATCTTAAAAAATAAATAAATAAATAAATAAAATCTTA